TTATCATGTCCTATGAAGCTCGCAGCTCCAGTGGCTGGTATGGCCGTGACAATGGCCAGCCCCTCTGCCCCAGTCCAGGTCCCTGGGGCCCCAGCTGCTTCTGCAGCTCCAGGCTCTCAGTCTGCTGCCACCTCCCTGGCTTCCCCCACTCCAGCCTCTCCTGTTTGTCCTCTTATCCCCATCTCCTCTGCTGTCCCCCTGGGCACCCCTGTGACAACAGCTGGGCCATTGCCTGCTCCTCCACTGGTTCCTGTCACCCCTCCTGTCACTGTAGCTGCCCTGGTAGGCCCTTCCCCCGGGATCCTGGCTGCTGCTGCTCTGTCTCAGAGTTCTGCCTCTCTGGCAGCTGCCCCAGGTCCCTTGTCTCCCCCCACAACACCAGCAGCAGGTCCTGCTTTGCCACCAGGTCCAGTCCTGGCCCCTGCAACCCCCTCCCCTCCCGCTCCCCTGACAGCCCCTGGACCACAGCCTGGGACACCAGCCACAGCTGCTCCCCCCTCTCTGCCAGCTCCTGCCCCTGCCCCCATGACCTCTCCTGCTCCCTTGGGAGCGCCGGCTGTGGCCCCGGTGACATCACCCATGGTGCCAACCCCCAGCTCTGCCCCTGCAACTGTCCCTATGACCTCAATAGTGGGGGCTCCACTCCCTGCCCCTGGGACCCCTCAGGTTCCCACCTCTGCCCCCAGAACACCTTTGGCAGCTGCTTCTCTGCCATGTCCTGCCCCTGCTGCCCCTCCCAAGTCCCCTACTCCTGAGTCTCTCCTGCCCCCGCTCCTTCCACCTGCTTCCCCTGGGCTGGGGGCTCCAGCCCTCCTTAGCCCTGCACCCCCAGCTCCCTCTGAGGCTCCAGGTTCTCCCCTGCTCGCTCTCTCTCTCGCCCCTACAGCTTCTCCCAGGGCATCTATTCCTCCTCCAGCTGCCCCAGCCCCATCTCTTTCTCCTGGGGCCCCTCTGGCCCCAGTTCCGGTCACCCCCACTCTACCTGCTGCCTCTCTGAGCCCTCTTTCTCCTGCTGGGGCTCCTGCTCCTGTCTCAGAGGCATTAGCGGAGTCTGCCACCCCCAGCTCTGCCTCAGGTGACAGCCTGGCTCCTGTCCAGCCCCCCAGGACACAAGCTGCCCCGTGTCTGGCCTCCACAGCCCTCCCTGCTTTTCCTGTTACCCCAGCGAGTGCTGCAGCGCAGCCTCCTACCCCTGAGAAGAATCTGTCACCTGCCCCCATCCCTGCCAAGCTGCCTGCTCCTCCAGCCTCAGCTGCTCCCACTCCCAAAGCCCCACCTCCAACCCCTGCCCCTGCTCCTGCCATTGAGGACGACGAGCTGCCGCCCCTGATCCCCCCGGAGGGGCCCGCTGACGAGCCGCCCCTGCAGCCCGTCCTGGTGGACCTCTCCTCTCCCAGAGCGGCCGCAGCCCCGGCCGATGTCCCCGCTCCTCCTCCTGCGGCCCCGGCTCTGGCCAAGCCGCCTGTGCTGAAGAATGACAAGGGTATTTGTTGCCTGGGTGTGCTGTGCGCATGGAGTGTCCCCAGCCGCCCACCGTGCACTAACCCACAACCCAGCTTGGTAGTCTAGAGGGTGGCGTCCCCACAGCCTGCCTGGGCCAGGGTGGGCAGGCAGGCTGCGGGTGCTGCATGGTGTTGCGTGTCACTAACGGGGCTCCCACACACGTGCACACACAGCTTGGGGGGCGGGGGAGTTCAGCTCAGTGTTTCCCAGTCACCCGGTTTGAGCCCCAGGCAGCTGCTTTGCCAGCGTCTGCTGCGTGTCTAACCCATCCCTCCCTAGCCCACCTGCATCTGGGGCTGCAGGGTCACTCCAAGGCCTTCAGAGGTCAGGGTAGGATGCAGACACTGGAGCTGCCCATGAGGCAGGTGCTCACTGCTTTGGCTTCCCTCTGTGTCAGCCACATCCATCCACTTCCCTGCCTTTCGTGGGGGTGGGGGGTTGCAGCTGCCACTCAAGCGTGCCCTGCAGGCTGAGGGCACATGCCAGTCTACCTGTTTGTGGCTGTATCTAGACTGTGGTGGGGCTGCTGCCCCCAAAGCTGCTGCCTTGCTCACAGGGAGATTTGTGCCAGCTTCATGCCTGGCACAGCCACTGGCTTACAGGACCCAGAGCCATCTCACCCGATGGGGGTTTGACCCCACCAGTGGAGCCAGCAAGAGGCCAGGCTCCAAGAGAATCGGATCTGGTCCCCATGAGCTACACTGGCCTACTCCCTGGAGGGACCGGAGCCACCTTCACGCTGGCGTCTGGCACATGGCACTGTGTTGTCAGGGCTAGGGCTGGGTCCTGAGAAAGACACAGCCTTTGTAATCCACTGGGCCTGGAGAACAAACTGGGCACCCAGCACCACAGATCCAACATTCACAGCACCACGGTGGGGGCCCAGCCTGAGCAGGTCTGGCTGTTCTGTCTTGGCCTGCCTGCCCCTCGCTCCGTGCTGGGAAACCTGACACCTATTTTCTCTCCCCAGGGTCTGGCACAGAGTCCGACAGCGACGAATCCGTCCCAGAGCTCGAGGAGCAGGACTCCACACAGGCCACAACACAGCAGGCACAGGTGAGGGCCCCGCCAGACGGGAGGAGGGTCCTACTGCACTGGGGATGGGCGCGAACCTGGGAAAGATGTGGATGGCATCATATAAGCCCTGGGCTTCATGGGCAGCTCTCCAGCAATAGGAGCAACTGGCCTACCCCCACTGCTGTCTGATGGTCCTCTTGCCTGTGTTCCTGCAGCTCGCAGCAGCCGCCGAGATAGATGAAGAACCCGTCAGCAAAGCAAAACAGAGCCGGAGCGAAAAGAAGGCACGGAAGGTATGAGGAGGGGCTGACGTGGTCCAAGCTGTGCGGTCCCCCCACAGGCAGCTTGGGAGAGCCTGGCAGCAGGAAGTCAGGCCCGGCCCAGCCTCAGCCCTGCCTCAGCCTGGCTCAAGGGAGCTCATGACCACCTGCCCCACTGCTCTGAGCTTCCCTGTCTATGAGAGAAGCTAGAGCACATGGAGTTAGCCCAGGGTCCCATGGTGAAACTGAGGCCCAAACCTGGCCTCTACTTTCCCCCTCCACCCCCCATCTCTGACCGTGGTTCTATAGCAGTCCAGTGCTGAGGCTGTGCCAGCCCTCTGGGACATGATGAGCCCCAGCCCGATACCTCCCTGCTCCCTTCACTCTCTAGGCAATGTCCAAGCTGGGCCTTCGCCAGGTCACGGGAGTAACCAGGGTCACCATCCGGAAATCTAAGAACATCCTCTTCGTCATCACAAAGCCAGACGTGTACAAGAGCCCCGCGTCAGACACCTACATTGTCTTCGGGGAGGCCAAGGTGTGGGGGCGGTCTGGGCCATCTGTCTCTCACTGACCTATGTCTGGGTCGTGGTGGCAGTGGCGGGGACTTTTCTTCTGTGGGTGTGGGCACTGCAGGAGTGTTCCCTGGCACCTTGTCTGGGGGTGGT